TTTTGATATCTAAAAGTTATATTAGATATCGATTAATTTAGATACTCTTGCTTTGTCAAGAAAGAATTAGTTTATTAAAGTTGAAATTTTGTTGGCCTTGTATTGACAACAGGAGCATGTGGGAGTTGTCCTACCTTCAACAACAACCATAAAGATGCACTAAAAAATCTGTCTTTTGCAATCTCATCTGTTACAATAATTTGTATTAAAATTGCATTAAAAAGAGTCTGTAAAGTTCGCTATTATGATGGTTTGTGCTGAAAAAGGGTATCACAATTGAATTTCCCCCTTTTTTTATTTTTATTTTTTATTTTTTTATGATAGGGATTGAAAGAGTGCTCAAGGAAAATTTTGGAGACACTGTTGCAAGTTTATTTTTTTGGTACTCAATTTTTTTGATATCTAACAGTCATATTATATATTAATTAATTTAAACTGAATCGCATCAGATTTTATAAAAGAAAAATTCTCTCAATATCCATATTTGTATTCACAAAACTAAAACTTAATCATTTATTTGAAGAGAATCGAGTTACTTTTACTAAAATCAACAACAGGCTGTTGGCATTGTCACAAGTTTATGATGATGAAGTAAGGGAGACAACGGTAGTGGTGAGTACCATTTTAGTTTATGATGATGAATGTCAATGTATGTACCATTTAGGCACGAACATGTGAATACACACTCGATATATCTTATCAGGATACGTTTCTCGTTCTCAAAGCTCTCAAATTTGAATGAAATTTATGCATTTCATTGAAGATTCCTGAGCTCCACTTGAACTGAAATTCTGAGCGATCACTGCAGAAATCTTTATAATTCCCCCTAGTCAGACTTGTTCTCTGTACCTGCAGCACTGATTACTGATTGTATCCAACGCGATAAATTGACCAGGAATGGTACATAAGCAAAGTAGCAAGTGATTGTCCAAGTTATCAATCCCTGAACAGAAGAGAAACTGTCAGAAGTTTAGAAATCACTGAAGTTTCCAACAAATTCAGCTGATTGATTACCTGACCAAAGATCTCTACATTTGCTTTTGGGTAATACCATAGGTGGAAGAACCTGCAACCCAATCAAAATCACAATTTCAGCTTCTTTGATGTATTTTATTAAAGATGGATTAAATTAGAAATATGTCAAATCTTACTTCATCAATGGAATCTCTGCAAGTGGGCAGGCAACACCTACAATAGATGCTAAGGTGAAACCAAGCCGAGTCCTATCCAAGGACAACCATAGAATCTGTGCCATGGCAAATAATATGTAGGCCTCAATGTTGTCTGCCACTCCAGCTTTGTACATTTCCGCACTCAATTCAATAAACAGCACATATGCTCTGCGTAAGATGAAGGCGGCATAATTTTACAGCTAAAGCAAGATGCATATTGGGAAAAAAATCCTTTCCTTTCCCCTCGTTTCCCTCAATCCAAACACGCTGTAATAAATTTCCAACCATATTCTCTTACCTCATTGAGATGACGGTGATTTAAAAGCTAGAAAGCATGACTTACATCAATGAGACCGCTGTTTTTTCCAAGGTCGCATTGGGGACCTCTGGAGAAGCTTCTTCATCAAAGAAAAGTTGCAGCAACCCTACAGTGCAGTAAAATAATCCAAGCAAGGGAGGAACCTGGCAGCATTGAGGACCCAAAGAGCTCTATATTATCAAAAGAAAATATGTAATCTCCTCAAGAAGAGAAAAGGATTGAATTTTACCCAGATATTGGAGTGAAGAGGACCGATGTCTATTGCCCCATTTTGATACACTACAAGATTAACCCTGGAATGAAGTCCATCGATTATGGGACCCAAAACGAAACCTGAAGTGAAGAGTGAGAGAGAGATGGAGGGCCACTTGTTTCTTAGACTTGCTCTGCTCTGCTTTCTCAGATTGCAGTGTACTTTGAAGGGAAAACCCCTCGAATTAGCATGGCCAAGATGAAGCAGATGAGAGGAGGTGAGGGCAATAAGGTTAGGCATGTTTATCCCCTTACATCAGAAAATTGTGGGAGCGTTGATTCGTCGATGCAGAGTGCGAACAGCTTCATAGTGATGTGGTACTTGAAAAGGAGCCCATTAAATCTGAACCACAAGATTGAAAAGGAGGACGATGTTTACTTGGCTGATATTATCAGGTACAAAACGTACTTAGGAGAATGAAAATTTGTGCTGTGTGTCTCGCGACACCTTTGGACTTCATGGTGATGCGTGAAACCCCTGCGGTGTTCTCATATGTGTATTGACATTCCTTGGACCTTTAGTGCCGCAATTAAGCTTCTGAAAGTTGTATGGAAACTGGATACTGTTAATGTTTCTGTTAGCTAAGAAGGAAAGAGTCCAAGACATGTTTATTTTTATTAGTACATGGAAAGTTTTACATGGGCTGACAGTGACTGAAATTAGAAGGTACAATCTATCCTGCCAAACAATAGCTTTTACAGAATTTGGAATACCATTTCTTATTTCTATTGAATTTGGTCTCAACCAAATCTTAGACATGGGAGGACCAGAAACCATCAGAGAATCAATGATGGCTAAATTGCTGGGAACCCTTTAATTATAGAAGTTGAATTTCCTTCCTCACCCCTTAATTATAGATCTGAAGCTCTCAACTTTCTTGGCCTTCTATGAGCTGGTGATGGAGTCTCAGATGCCCTCTCAGGTCCCTAGAACCCATTTAAGTCAAATGGGTATTAGATTACATTCAACAAAAGGACCAAAAACAAGAAAGACAATTAAAACACACGATAGAAAAGATAAAAGAGATTGTTTGTGCACACCTTTCATTTCTGGTCCCTGCTGCCAACCCGTTCCCCTGGAATGTGAATCAAATACATTCATCAGAATTTCTTAGTCAAAACCTTGGATCCAATGATAATGTCCCCATCAATGTTATAAGTTACCTCCAAAACTAATGAAGTGTGGAACAAATGCTCGATCTTGATCAGCACCATGGTTGGATCACTGTTCAATGACCAAATCACAAATTCAACCTTTGAACAGTAAAAACATCCTCATAGAATCACAGTAATAAAACCATAAGCAATCAGAAACCAATTAACCCAGATCACCAACCTTAGGTGGTGTGCAGCATATTGCCATAGGAACCTGAAAGAAAGATAAACCCTCTGCCTCCTTATATTGTAGCTGAAGAGGACCAGATAAAACCCATGAAATGTGAAATCGGGACACCAGTTTAATTATTTTGCTAATAATCAATCACAATAAATGTTTCACCAATGCTGATATTCTTCCCAAACCAAATTCCCTGCATCTTTTAAGACCTTGTCACAATGCAGAAGTAATATAAGAGATCTTGTGATGAGGAACAAGAAGAAGCTATTCAATAGTTATTTAGATTATTTAGAATTCTTAAGTAATTACTTTTATTCAACTGTAATTATCATTAGTTCTCTACTTTTATTAGGATTAGGTCTTTTATCAAGAGTCTTAAGTCCTAGTTAATTAGAAATTTTAAATTTCAAGTTATAGACTAATTAGAATAGGAGTTCTAGTGGGAGTCTTAGTAGTTTCTATATAAATATGCATGTAGTATCTTTCATTATTAAGTTAATAATATTCAGAATTTTGCAGCAAGTTTTGCTCTTGATTGTGTGATGCAACTAGCCTTAGGTGTGATGCTTAAGGGTTTTATCCTCTTTAGGTATGACTCCTAGTCTTTTCTATCCTTCTTGTTGTTTATTTTCTATTTCTTCCTCTTTTCTATCCTAAACAGACTCTATTTTACTGTTCACGCATACTAGTCACAGCATATATTTGCCTAAACAGCCTCTAAATCCCCAAGCCCATCATACCCCCCTAACCTGTCCCGCATCATCTTGTCTTCCCTTCTACTGATTAGTTCTGCGTTCCGACAACAGATTTATATTTCCCCTATTACTTTATGCAATGGGAAATGGCATAATTAACTAAAGATCATTTTTTATAAATAAGAAATTCATTAAAAATAAAATAAGTTAAAAGGTCCAGCCTGATGCAAGATCATAATTAGTTTCAGTCTATTTTTTAAGGAATTAAGTTACAAGAAAAATACAAAGTAACATTTTCACAAAAATAAAAAAATGTACTAATAGGGCACTCATTACATGAAAGAAATAAAATGATGAGAATATAAGCACAGAGAACTGATATCTATAAAAGTTTTTCAGCTGTCTTACCAGTTTCTGAAGATTTAGTTAAGAATTTCTTCAAGATGCACTGCACAAACAACCTTCGTTGGCAGCTGTGGTTTTAACTTAACCTGTAAGAGGGCATAAATACAAGCTATGTCAATATCATCCAATGTCTCTCTCCAACCTTTGGCGGAATAGTCACCTGTTGGTGGACAGAATGCCATTTACCACTCTGACCTGCCAAGCTCAAGGGATTGAAATTCCAACATATTATCAAAAGATTCTTGGTTATGAGACAAACTTTTGAAAAACAGAGAGTTACCAAGTGGTAAAGTTGCAAATTATCTTTTCACACTGAGTTTGTGAGAGGGAAACCACTGCCAAGTGATCTAAAGGAGGATTTTCAAATTCATTAACATCACATTTTGGATAGAAGGATTCTAAAGTCTGAGATTACTGTATGCAATACGTAATAAATAGCGAAAGTCAAATCGACCCATAGACTTGATACACTTTGAGCAAAGAGTTAAAGAAAATAGCAGATACCCTTGAGTTGCTAGAATCAACAGTTCTGAAAAGATTCAATTATCCAGCATTAAGCAATGCCTTCTCAATTGCCTTTCTCCTAGTTGAATTCAAAGTAACTCCAGAGAGTATCCCACTCAACGCTACACCTTCTTCAACTGAGAGACGTCAATGGAAGGAATGAGCAGAGCCAAACCCCCTGTAAGTGCTTAAACCTGCAATTTGAAGCCTAAACCAGCTCAGTTTAAGCTGAAACAAGAAGAACAAGAGCATTTAAACCTTGCGAGAAATTCCATGGGGTTTTCTCTGGGAAATCCTTCTGGGGTCGAGATTTCTTCTCTTGGGTTACAGAAAACGGAGTTTTGGGCAATCCCAAAATGCCCTTAGCGTCCATGTTCATCTCCCACAACCTAAATTAGGGTTTTCAGAATCATCAAAATCCCCAACAGCTGCCTTTGGAACGTTGAAGGGATCAGATTCTGAAAATTAGGGTCTCAAATTGATCGAATTTGGAAGCAGAGGGCAAATTTAGGGTTTTATTCGAGCGCGAAAGCAATGTTTTAGATCGGGTCATTTGCATTTGCAGTGCAGGTGACTGACGACGGCGAGACTCTCGTAAACCGAACCGGTTCTCTCGGTTCGTTTAAAAAGTGGGGTCGCAAGTCCAACGACGTCGTTTATGTAGTATTAGTTGCCTAGTGACAATATGGGCTCATGCTCGTTTCTATTGGGCCCTCAGAGACAGCCCACTCGCTATCCTAACTATTCTCTCTCAATTCTCAATAAACTTCCTCACTCTTTCATTTTTCTCCTATCTTTCTCCTTATCTCTCCCTCTCTAAGAAAAGTAAAGTGGAAGATTCCTACAAGGTATGGTAAGGTTTTTCAATTTCTAAAGGAGATCTTTCTTTCTTTTTTTAAATTCTCTCGATCTTTGTTATATTTTAATTAATTTATATAATAATAGATAACTTTTCTTTCTCGAAATTTGATTATGCAAATTTTTTTAATCGTTTCATGTTGAATTTTGTTAGATCAATTTGTTCATGTCATTTCTTTAGCTTCTTCTGCCCTTTATTTTTTGGGTTTCAATTATGCATACCAATATTTTTTTTCTACTTGTCTATTTGATTTCCAATTATGTATATTTGTATACCTATATATATGTCCTTTTTTTTTTTTTTTTTTTCCTGATTGGTATACCATATTCATTAACTTCTTTTGCAGGTCAACAAAACCAGAGGGATACTCTGCAAATCACCAAGAGAAATCTTCATGGATGAAACTCTTGAGAAGTTGCAGGCTAGCATGGGAAGCTTCATGATAAGAAGAAAGAAGCCTTGTTGACTTGTGATTTGGTGCTATCCTACCTGAGCTTAAATTATTCTTCTTCGCGTGTCTTCCATCACATCTCTTCTTGACCTTGTAAGACCTGCTCTTGATCTTGTAAGGCCAAAAGCTAAATTTGCTACTCTTGATATGTACATATTCAAGGACTCTTCTTGTGTTCTTTCCCTTTGAGAGTCAAGCAATTAGCATCAGCTGTTCCCACCCAACTCACCATCTCCTTCTCTGTCTATCCCTCCTGAGCTTTGTTCTCAATAAACCCCAATTTCGCTGTATGAAAAGTCCCCATCATGTAATTCAAAAGCAATAAATGAGTTTTAACATTTTTTGTTAGAATTTGTGTTGCTATGCGTATGACCCTTTTATTTGAAATTGAAAGGTCACTGATATTCTGAATGTCGGTCCAGGAATGCACGGTGATACATTTATGATTTTGTCAATATATTGCGTTGTTTTTTGAATAGTTTTGCTCTTCATTAGATCTGGTCGTACTCATACATATATAATGTCATTTTGCTGTGTGTTTGTATCCGAGTGACAGTAGGTGAAAATCCATAGCCAGCCCTTCACCTTACTGACTGTAAAAGTTTCAGTTTCTCAGCTTACATAACGTGAAGATTTAACTCTTATCTTTTCGATTGAAATAAAAAAAACCCAAAATGGTCGGCCAGGTCATGTGCACGTTAGGACTCCGTCTCCCTTTGCCACGACAGTACCAATGTGGACAATTCCATGCCATCTGGACTGCCAATGTGGACAATACCTTAAATGTGGTCCCTAGAAACTGATTTGAAGCTAAAAAGAATTAAAAAAGAAACTTAGAAATGTCGACACCAATATTGTGGTGACACTGCAAGCGGATTTTATTTTTAGCTGTAAAATTTCTTTTTCTTTTCTTGGTTTTCTAAAACTCTATTAATACTTATTTAAAACCAAATTTTAAGAGATTAGAAATACATTAATTTAAATTTTATATATTTAATTATCATTTTTTTTACTCTAAGCTAGCTTATTTCCAATTAATTTTTTGTTTTCTCATTTTTTATCTAGACAAATTTTTTTTTCTTATTTAACTTTATCATTATTCATTTATTTTTATTAATTATCCTTAAAAAAATATGTTTTTATCTTTTAATTTTTTCTAAGAGTAATATAAATAAATACATTAATTGTCCTCAAATCTTTAATTTGAGAAAAAAATTAAAAAATGATAGTTATTTTATGATAGAAAGAGTGTATACATGTGAAGTATATCAATTAAATTTTATGTTAATTTACTATGGTAAAATCAAATGTCTTAAAATTTCAACTTTTAATGTCATTTAAATTAATTTATTTTTTATTAGTTTAATTAATTAATTCACTTCAATTATTTAAATAAAATTAAAATTAATTAATTTTGATATTTAACTAGGTTCTAAAATTGTACTGTATACTATTCATTTGTACTACACATTAGTAATTACTAAATATAATAGCATTGATTTACAATTGAAATTAATTTTTAATTAATAAATGTAAGAGTTATTTCAAACACATAACTGTTGGCCGTCCATTTTGGATTTCTTTTTTTTATTTCAACCAAAAGAGATAAAGGGCTAAAATCTTTAGGTTGTAAGTTGAGGAGCTGAAATTTCCACGTTTAATAAGGTGGAGGACTGGCCATGGATCTTCACAAGTGGCTAGGGACCACATTTAAAGTATCGTCCACGATGGCAGTCCAAATGGCAAGAAATTGTCCACGGTGACCCTAACATGGCAAAGAGGGACAGAATAGTAACGTGGGACGAAATCGTAACGTGCACCCGACTTAGCCGTTCATTTTGGGTTTTTACATTTAAATCGAAAAGATAAATGACTAAAATTTTCACAATGTAAATTGGAGAGCTGAAACTTTTACAGTCAATAAGGTAGAGGTTGGCCATGATTTTCGCCACTTGTTTGAGATAAACATAGACCCTGAGTCAAAACTGCATAGTGCCTTTTTGCCATGACGCGTAGACAGACCCATGTGAAAACTAGTATATGTATATTTTATTAGAAAGTTAAGGAGTATTTCATTAATCATATAACAAGCAAATATTATATTTGTTTGCAATTTGAAAAGAGAAATTATTTCATAACATTAATTATTAGAGGAATTTTTCTCTATAATTAATAAATTACTTAAAGTAAAGATGACCTAACTATAATTAAAAATCATAAAACCAATCGCTATAAAAAATATTATCAAAATTATAAATATAGTAAGATCACCATGATGAGCATCTTTAGCTTTTAGATTATCCCTCAGTCATGCTTATCTCAAGAGACAGCAGGTACTTAGGATATCAATATCAACAGTTCTTGCCACTCAAAGCCTACCACATCCATAGCATCATTAACATAAGGGAGGTATATGCCTCCTTAATCTACTTCCCACCTACGAGCCTATACCACCACCTTTAAATCTTTGCCTTTAATCCGCAACCTTATCCGAATCCAAGCTCCTTTGCCACCGTTGACTCGCATTCCTCACTGGTCTTGTAGTACCCAAAGGGTGACTTGACTCATGCTGGAATCCTATTGCTAGAATTTAGAACAGTATTTGGGAAAATTTTGCCTTGAACAAAAGAGTGCAAGGGTCGGCCAAGTGATTGGGGAAGGGGGTGGAGGAGAAAAGTTGTAAGGCCAGGGGGGTACAGTGGAGGAAGAGGGGGTAAGCGAACGGGGATGCCAAAGGGTAAGGGGGTGGGGGGTGGGCAAAGAGTGGGGATTGGCTTGAGGGGAGATGAGGAGGAAAAAAATGGAAGGGGATAAGTTGGGGGGAGCTGCTTTGTTCTTTACTAGGGTTTTTTCTTGTCTTGGCAACAATGGTCAAAGGAAATTAGTTGCATCTGTGGTTGGATATGAAACCTAGTATATTAATATCACGTTAACATTAAGTATAGAATTATTCATTATTAAGCAGTTGTATGATACCATAAGTCAGTTTTCATGCATTATACACAAGTCTATGATTATTAATTAGGTTTCAAACTTTCGTGTGATTAGTAATTAGCCTAAGAAGGGTAACAAAAGTAAGAAAACGTGAAATTTAGCATGGAAGTATGGAACCGACCTTATGCTTGAGTGAGGAAGATATGTGACATAAAGTACAAAGAAAAAACAAAGCCTTTTTGTTGGCACTAAGGAGAATGGGGTTTGAAAATGGAAAGGACGCTAATTCATGCACACCATCCCATTACACACTCTAACAGTTTCTATTACATGCACTCATAGTTTTCGTCTCATCAACCCTTTCTTTCTCTCTCCTTTCCTTTCTCCTTCTGGCTATTCATTGTCCTCACCAGATCCATCTTCCTCCTCACCTCCATCCTTATCTTAATCATCTACAAGACAATTGTTAGCCCTACTAGGTTCCCACCTTTTCCCCCCTTTTTTTTTTCTTTTCTCCCAAGTTCTCCTTTAGAACCCAATTTGGGTTGTTGGTAAGAACCCGATCTGGGTTCTCCACCATAGATTTTGAAGTTGATGGCGTCGCCTGCACCTGCTTCAACTTGACCAACAACTCCATCACCACCCTATTGTCCATCATTGCCACCCTCACCCACTCATCCTTCACCACCATCATCATACCCATAAAAACCCAACCCAAAAAACCCAAAAAACCCAGAAAACAAAGAACCACCCAGATGGCGTAGCCTAAAGTGAGAAGAACCCAGATCAAGTTCTTATTAAGAGAATTCGTGGGTTCCCCTTCATAACCCAATTTGGGTTCTTGGTAAGAACCCGATATGGGTTCTCTTGGAGAAGCCAGATTGGGTTCTTACTTGGAGAAACCAAATCTAGGTT